GGGGGGGGGGTTGGATCAGAAATTACAAAATGCATCTGATGGACAAGTTATCCCAACACTGAATGGGGTGTGTTTGATCAGTGAGAGAGAAAAAAATAGGGTCAGAATGGAAAAAAACCTGTTAGGGTCAGAGGCAAAAACTAGGCAAAAAAGTTGGTTGGGGTACCTAAAATATACCAATTTTGTTTTGGCCTTACAGAAACTATGTCCTTGTGTGAGATGAAACTTTTATTTCTCTTATATAAAAGTCTTGTTTCTGGAAGGAATAATGGAGAATAATACTGGAAAGTAAACCAAGATCCTCCACTATCTAGTCAGTCATTATACCTTTCAGCTGAAAGGAAATTCCTACTAGCTAGCGAAAGCAAGTCAAAGCTGGTAATCTAAATTTAACATATGTTTGCTTACATTAAGTATAACATTTTATATTCAATATACGTATACCTATTATTCTTTTCTCAGTTTGAAATCATCATGCGTTCAGAAACATTTAACGACTTGTAATCATCCAGTGGGCTTAAGTTTCTTGTATGTCATCCCTTCTGTTTTGTTTTCAACTCATTCACCCCTGAAATTTTACAATGAACCATTCCAACCTTTGAATTAGAAGAGTTAAAATGTGTCTTCAGGGGTGAATGAGTTAACCGCCGTAAACACTATATATAGGACAATGCTGCCAACATAATGTCTTCTTGACACATTTCAAGTTTTATTCTAGTTGGTTGATCATGTTAGTAATGTTTCCATTTTCATGTAACAGGAAGCTGGAAAAGACCCAGGAATGTGTGTACCAACATGCACCTGCTTGTTCTGCATCAGAAATGGCTTTTGTCCACGAAGGAATCCAGTTAGTCGGCAATCTCACCAAGAATATGTGCCCTCATTCCTCTGCCTCTCTTTGCAAGTTGAGCATGATGGCTCCTATAAATCCTGCTGCCACCTGTGCTGAAGAAAAACTACTAGAGTGTGTATTTATTTACTACTATGCAACCAGGGGCCAACAGCTGACAGAAAATGAATACTGCCTGTAAGTATAAATAAACTAATTACAGCTGATAGTGTGCTGCCTGTAGGTAACCAGAATACAGATGATAGTATACCTAATACAGCTGATAAGTGTGCTGCCTATAAGTTACCCGAGTTCAACTGATAGTATACTAACTAACTAAGTACAGCTAATAGTGTGCTGCCTGTATGTACACTGATTAACAACTGATAGTATAGTAAGTATAGCTGATAGTGAACTGCCTGTATGTACACTGAATAACAACTGATAGTGTATTAAATTCAGCTGATAGTGTGCTGCCTGTATGTACACTGATTAACAACTGATAGTGTATTAAGTTCAGCTGATAGTGTGCTGCCTGTATGTGCACTGATTAACAACTGATAGTATACTAAGTACAGCTGATAGTAAGCTGCCTGTATGTACACTGATTAACAACTGATATTGTACCAAGTACAGCTGATAGTGAGCTGCCTGTATGTACACTAATTACAACTGATAGTGTACTAAGTACAGCTGATAGTGAGCTGCCTGTATGTACACTGATTAACAACATTAACTGATAGTGTACCAAGTACAGCTGATAGTGAGCTGCCTGTATGTACACTAATTAACAACTGATAGTGTACTTAGTACAGCTGATAGTGTGCTGCATATATTTACACTGATAAACATCTGAGCTGACAAGTATACCAAGTAAATCTATCTATATATATATATATTAACCATGATACAATAAATAGTGGATTATATTCCTGGTTTTGTTTGCTTTACAGGTATCAACAAACTGCCGAAAATTGTATAATGTCTTACTCAAGTGACTGTCCTGCCTACACCCTCATGGATATTGAACAGGCAATGAGGCCCGGTATTGTAGGAAGTGGTTTCACCTGCCCCAAGAATAGCATAGACTATGACTCTATGTGTCCAGTTTATAATAACTGCTCCGTGTCGCAATCAGTCATGAAGATCAACAGCATGTATGAAAGAACCATTCAAGACAAGACCGCTGGAAAGAGTAATGCTGAACTCTGCAGGTAAGACTTGTTTTCCCATGGTTCTTGCGAACAGTATGTTAAATAATCAACATTCTTCAAAAGAGGTCATGCATGTATTATCTTTTCCTATTACTTGGTTTTGATGTAATGCCATCATGTTTGACTTATAGCTTATTTATCATTATACCTTTATAACAATATTTCTGATTGTTTTACATTGATCACATGACAGGGGCATAAAACATGATGTTCCCCTTATGTGCTCAAGTTTCCCTGCTAATGATTCCCTTATGCTGAACTTCTCTAACAAAATAAAAATGAGCAAGAGGCACCACACCTGTTCTTTGTGACTGAAGCAGATGACAATAACGATGCCGCGTTCTCATCATCTTTAAAGTTGTGCTGTTGTTCTGTTTTGGTGTAAACAAATATTGTTAAGCGGTTATATTTTGCGGGGTTTTTAATTTCGCTATATTCGCGCTTTGACTAAACATTCTATTCCAAGAATTCTAAACACCAGCTAAATTATTGAAAATGTTAACCACTTTTATGGACCTTATCACGACATGTTGAAAACACGTATAACCCAACAGTGTTATGCAAGCTTAGGTGAACTCAAATCAGATTATCACCCGACAACTGGGCATTCCAAGTAAAAACAACACTTTGATTTAGGTCGCCACAACATATGTATGTGTACCAAGTTGGTGATTAATTGATTACTGTTTACTCCTAGAAAGGTACATACACATTTGATTTTCTTTTGAGTGAAGTCACTGGCAAATGATGATGCTCAGGATCAGTGTTGTCAAACGGTTTATCTGTGTTTCGAGGTTTAACCCTTAAATGATGACACTCAGGATCAGTGTTGTCAAACGGTTTACCTGTGTTTCGAGGTTTAACCCTTAAATGATGACACTCAAAATTCTTCGCACGACATATGGGTTTTGAGTGCACAGCGAAATTTAACCCCCGTGCGTATGTACTGATTACAAAACCGAGAAATATTGACCCCGCAAATTTAAAGCGCTATACAGTATCTACTGCCCGTGTGGTAGGGAAACAAAGGATTTACGGATGAAGAGTACTCATGAAGTCAGCAAAATTACAAAACCCCACCAAATATTAGTGATTTCATAGTACATCATTGTTTTTCTCTTGTACAGCGCAATAGCAGTCGACATGTCCGCTCTGACCGCAGAAGTAACGCATTGTAACCCATTGGAGATTGCCATGATAAACAAACCTCTAAACAACATCGACCTCGCCCTCACTTTTGTACATGGTGTAGACTGTAACAGTGTTACTCCGTTTACAAGCAGCATGCAACCAATCGACCCACTCCATGTAGAACTTCAAACCTGCTATAACATGCTTTATGACAGTCTCCACCAATCCAGCTTAAATGCCACCTATGGCTTCTACGATATCTGCGAGACAGCCATGGCCTTCAACAGCTGTGTGGCCACAATGGGCATGCCTGCAGACCGACCAAGTGAAATGCTCATCAACCATTTAATGAGTTCTAATATGAAGCACATTCAGAACTTCATCACAACAAGCTGTTCACCTATTAGTAAGTTATTCATATGGAGAACTGTAATGATGTGGCTAATGTATTTAAAAGGTCTCTTTCATATGTGTGTGAAGAAAGTATCAAACATTTATTTGTGTCAAGGGTGGTAACTTTTAAGTATATTTTAAGATGAAACAAAACCTTTGAGGTATTTATACTGATAAACCTAACTGAAATACGTGTTGCCAAATCTTTCTCTGTTCAAACATGCTCATTAAACAAAAAAATCATTAAATTGTCTTATACTGTTACAGCATAATTTGATATGTCTGTATACAAAATATATTTATGTGTACCTGTTTTTCTTCCACCCTGAATATTCTTACACCAGTCATGTATTTTGTCTCTACAGAGATCACAGCCCAAACAGTGAAACTAGTCAAGACACCAGGTAAGACTGCCCGTCATATAACAATTCACTGCTTTCACCATGTAACGGTTTTAGTTTCATGTGTTCTTTGCCAGATATATTGTGAAAATGAGATGGAAGGAATGATAAAAGACGGAGAAATGGGGGGAGGGGCTTAGAAATTTATTCAATTGGGTGGTTTTGTGGCGTTATTCTCACGAAAATGAATTCCGAAAACACAAGAAATTGAAATATTTGTCACGATTCATTTTCTTCAATTTTGGACTACCAGCCAGTGTTACAGACCTCCAGGTTACAAATTCATATCTCTTTTCTTGAGAATTTCCAAATGGCATCAAGTTTTCGTCCTTCATTTTACTGAAAAGCTCTAAAAAGGCCCTAAAAATTAAGCCTCAGATTACATACTGAAATTCCTGTACCACCCTTGGATTTGCAATACTGTCCCGAAAGCGTAATATTTTTCACAATTTTGATTTTAATGGGTCATTTACCTTTGGAAGGCCACATTTCGTCTCACTCAACCTTACAGTGTATAGTTTCATCATTATGTCATCATGTCACTTTTGGGTCAAGAAAAACCAAACCTACCGTTGATAAAAACTGAATGGCACATCAACAGAAAAAAGAATCAAATGGCCATGGGTCAATACAGTAGAAAAACAATATGTGTGTTAACAGAGATGCAGATGTGACAAACGGCAGAAAATAAATTATAACAGGTACAAAGTATAAGATTATGTGACGTGGAACAAAATCTCGCACATCGCTCTTCCTGTAAATACACTATTTTGCATATGTCTCATGGTTTTGATATTGAATTGAGATTTTGACCTTTATAAATGATGTCTTTTCAGTTGCTGCCACTTGTCAACAGGAAACTGTTTTCCATTGTATGGCATACTTTGCAACCAAGGCAGCCTTTATGCCTATACTTGGTGAAGGAGACCAACTTAGTCTTTGCGGGTATGTGTGATTATATAATACTGTTTACTGGGACATTTTTTCGCTGCAGTTCAATTTTTCGTCTTTTGGGCAAGTTTATCATGACAGCGAACATGGTTATAAGTAAACAACATGACGTGCATGGTAGTTAAATGTAAAGGGCAAAATTGACACTTGGCGAATATTGATTATTATGGCAAAGAGGGAAAGTTTGACTGGGAAAAAGATTTACCTGTATACAGTAGGTTTCATCCAAAGAGGAAATAAGAACCATTTGTGATTATTTGACCATAATAATTGTATTCACTATAATGTGATTTAACACTACAACTTCTCTATATATTTTTCTAAACTTTGGGACAATAGATCTTGAATTCAGGATTATGATAAGGTAACTGCTATTTGATTGTTAAACCACTTTTTGGGGTATTTACCTGTTATTTGAGTATTTACCTGTTATTTGATTATTTACCTGTTATTTGAGTATTTAACTGTTATTTGAGTATATACCTGTTATTTGAGTATATACCTGTTATTTGAGTATATACCTGTTATTTTTGAGTATTTAACTGTTATTAGGTCACCTGAGCTTTAGCTAACCGTCTTTGTCCGTCGTCCGTAAACATTTGATATTTTCAACTTAAGCTGAAATACTGTGAAAGGGATTCCATTGATACTTCATGGGAATGTTACTGACATCTCCCTGACCAAGTGCTGTTATTTTTCGGGTCGATCTGAAATCCAATATGGCCACGACGGCCGCCATTTTGAAAAACTATTTCAAACTTAAAGTCAAGTTCTGCTGGGCCGATTGAACTGAAACTTGGTAGGAATGATCGAATCATGGTCCTGACAAGGTGTTGTTATTTACCGGGTCGATCATGCCAATATGGCCACCATGGCTGCCATTATGAAAAATATTTCAATCTTCAAGTCAAGTTCTTCTAGGCCGATTTAACTGAAACTCGGTCTAGGAATTAGCAGCTCATGTTCCTGACAAACTTATGTAAACGTTATACTTTACTATTTTTTACTCAAATTGGTACATATTATTCAACAACAAAAATAAATACTGTAGGACTCAGGTGACCGTTATGGCCCATGGGCCTCTTGTTAGAGTATTTACCTGTTATTTGATTTTTTAACTTTTTTTTTTTTTACTGTTTGAGTATTTAACTGTTATTTGAGTATTTATCTGTTATTTGAGTATTTACCTTTTATTTGAGTATTTACCTGCTTTTTTGTGCATTTACCTGTTATTCGAGTATTTACCTGTTATTTGAGTATTTACCTTTTATTTGAGTATTTATCTGTTTGAGTATTTACTTGTTATTCGAGTATTTACCTGTTATTTGAGTATTCACCTTTTATTTGAGTATTTATCTGTTTGAGTATTTACTTGTTATTTCAGTATTTACCTGTTATTTCAGTATTCACCTTTTTTTTGAGTATTTACCTGTTTGAGTATTTACTTGTTATTTCAGTATTTGCCTGTTATTTGAGTATTTACCTGCTATTTGAGTATTTAACTGTTATTTGAGTATTTAACTGAGCTGTTTGAATATTCAACTGGTACCTTCTGTTTGATTATTTATAACTTTGATTTTGAGTATGTAACAGTGTTGTTTGAGTATTTAAAGTGCCACTTTTATATTAAACTGCACAGTTGGAGTATCACATTCTTAAATTAATTTAACACACTGAAAACTAATATCAACTCTGTCTTGTTTTGCCAGTCTTGATACAAATAAAATCATGTAACGGAGTTTGCTAGGGAAAAGTATGACATGGGGGGGAAAAAAAGTAATATCTTCAATTTTTTCTTTTTTATTCTAGGGAGCCAGCCTACATCCGTGAGATGTGTATTTTAAATGAGAACTTGACCGCAGGCTGTTCAGATGTGACAATGATGCAGATGCGTACATTCCAATACATGTTTGAACAACTTGTTATGAGTTCACCCACTTGTTCATGGATGGTTACCGAAGACGTGCGAAAGGGTTCAGATCGACTTTTGGCGGGTGGTGATATGATGAATGAGGATGGTGTCATAGAGGTTCTTCAAGATCAGATGAGATCCTGGCAGGAAGCTGTTCTGGGTTCTGTCAAAGCCATGCAGGATGCCTATATGGTTGGTGATATGAGAAATGACAAGGATGAGGAAGATCGAAAGGCAGACGACATGGATGAGGAAGATCGTGAGAAAGATGAAATGGATAAGGAAGACTGCCGTCCTAGAGGGGCTACTGAGTGTTACCTTACAGCAATTTCTACTGTTACAGCAGAAGATTGGGTTGGACCATCATTTGATAACTTCTGTCGGTAAGCAATGACTAATAGAATCTTCCCCTACCTTGAGGGTGTGACAGAGAAATCTCCAATCCCCGGGGTGATTTTTTTGGTTGTCTAACCCTAGGTAGGAGATGATGATTATTTTTCTCCCATCCTATTATTTCAGTCACGACTCCACCGACAGTAGTGTAAACAAAACACATGTGGGATATGAATATCGTCATTCACTTTGACATCACAATTACAGCTGACACATTTTAATGACGTCACAATTGAACATGTACTAATCGGCACAAGGCTATCTCACCCTAGGGGGTGACAAGCTGATCTTTCCCGGCTAAAACGGGAGACACACCTGTGAAGGGTGGGAGAAAATATGTCAGTCTTAAGGATTTCTTGATGCCACAAATATGTGATGATATCAATAAATCAGAAAGCTTTGTTTCACATTCTTAATGGTAATGATAGAATATATACTCCATGACACGAACATTGTGTTTGTCCAAATGAATAGAGTTTCTAGCAGTGTTGTTTTGTGCTGTGTAAGCTCATTGGTTATGAAAAACCATAAGCTTATGTTTGAACTCTTACATTTTGAAACTAAGCCACAGTTTTTTGTTTTTTGTTTTTTGTAAGAAATCACAGGCTGATTTTCGAAGCTGGCCCATTTTCACGAGTGTCTTATTTTTGAAGCCATTTAAACTGAAGACATGTACGATTTGTTTTCAATGCTTTTTTTTATTTTTAAGCTTTATTAATAATCCATGCCATAGTTGCATTATTGCTCAAAATATTCAAAACCATTTACTGTAAAAAACAAAAATATGAAATTTGCAGTTTTTTGGCGCTGAAATAAAGTTTTTGGTTTGGTTGTGCAAATTACATAGCTATAGATATTTTCATTTATTTTTTTTTTGACAAAAAGATCATTGATTTGCAAGGTCCACCATTGCAAAATTGACTTCAAGGAATCCAAGGCATATTTTCAAGGCTGGGCTATTTTTGAAGCTGGCTAACTTTTGAAATATTTTTCACTGTAACGAACTCAGGTTTAGTTTCAAATCCAGCCTATTTTCTTATCTAGCTGGCTTCTTAATCAAGATTTTTGGGTAAATGTGTCCATTGATTGATTATTTTATGGTTTTTAGTAAGTTAGACGGCATGTATGGTTGCATGAAGAAGGAGATGGCTGGCTGTATGGAATGGCAGCAGGTCATGGTTAGGAAGCTTTACAGCGAAACACACTTTTACTACAACAGCGTGTGTGCCGACAAGATGGCCGACATGGCTGAGGACGGTGAGTACACACTGCAATCATTGTATCTCAGAATGTTCCTATCTGTTCTCAAGAGCTTGAATTTATGATTTCGCAATGGATAGTACTTATGTTTCATTTTGACGAGTATATGAACATTTTCGTTTTCCTTTAAAGTACCAGCTGGTTATTGATATCAAAGGAAACACAGGAAAAAACATGGAAACAAAACTACCAAAATATGTGAGGCAAAGAGAATATTTTGAGTTAATATTTTTAGGTAAACTTGTTCTTTACATAAGGTATACCTATGATATGTTTGAGTGAAGGCTATATGTTATCTAGCCTACAGAGAATGGGCCTTTTATGTGTTTTACTTTAGGTTTTATGATACTTTACGGAGTAAACCTATAATATATGTTTTAGTTAAGGCTGTATGCTATCTTACAGAATGTACTACATGATAATTGTATACCTATGACATGTGCTCTGAGTTAAGGCTGTATGCTATCTTACAGAATATACTATGATAATTGTATACCTATGACATGTGCTCTGAGTTAAGGCTGTAT